ATGGGAGTTGGAGGCGTTGGTCGGGGCTACCCCTTTCTCAGTGTCAGCTCCCACCTCTCCCCTGACAGTCCTCATTTGTACATGGGACACTTCTTCCCACCCTGGCATGAAGTTAATAAAAACCAAAATGCAGCTTAATTAAGATGGTGGGAAACAGGTGCAGCCTCCTGCCAGTGGAGAGAGGATGGGTGTAATCGGATCAAAGTGGAGGCAGATGTTCAGATCCGAGCCCAGATGCCCCTACCCCACCCCAAAAATCTGGCTCCTGGCTGCTGTCCCTGACTGTCTGTCTGAGAGCATGGGTGAGAGGAGAGGATGATCCAATCAGTCAGAGAGAGGACCTGGAGGGAGACCTTCATCTCAGAACAGAGGGTTACCTCTGAGCCTGCACCCCACCCCCATGGTGGCTGGGAGCACTGGCATTCAGCCAGACTACCTGGATTTCAATCTTTGACTCTTGCAAGCTAGTAACTCGGCTTCTCTGTGCCTTGGTTTCCTCATCAGGAGAATGGGGTGCTGAGAATGTGCCCCTCACAGAGGCTGGAGAGGACAAAAGGATGCAGAATGGCCTCTGAATTAGAGTGGGCATTGAGAGAGCGAGTGACCACTGTAAGCATCATTCATAGACAGAGGGTCTGTGTAGAACAGGTGAGGAACACTTTGCCCTCCCAATCAGCCCAATACCCCTTTTGACCCTTGTGCTGCACATGGTCCCCACAAGAGCCTAGGCCTTCCACTCCACATGGGCCCTACACCTTCTGGGCCTTCAGGCCTCCATGCCTTTGCACGTGCCAGCGTTCATGCTCCACACATCTGCTCCCTCTCTTGTCCACAGGGCTTTTCGAGATCCACTTCTACTGCCTGTTCGATACAGATTCTTGGCCTCCCCTGTCCCTTCTCCCTTATGTGTCCTTGCTTCCTTTGTGGATCTAGAACATCACCCACCTCCCAGGCATGCTGTGGATGTCTTCATGGGCACTGTCTGCCCCAGAGCAAGCACCTCGAAATGGTAAACTCTGTCCATCTGTGTGGCAGCACCTCAACCAGGGCTGACCCAACAGTGGGCAAAGGATGGAAGAGAAGAAGGAAGAAGAGAGTGTGCAGGGAGACAAGGCAGGGCCCTGCTACCCTTTCTAGGATGGTAAAGAAGTTCCCCGACTGCAGTCAGGACTAGGTGGAGGGGGCGCAGGAGAAGGAAAAGGTCTGTGATTGGTAGTGAACCCAGGCAGCTGTCTCTACCAAGACTTGCAGAAGTTCAGAAATATAGACATGGAGTCCAGAGAGGCTAGGAGTCAAGTACCAGTGGCTCAGGGCTGTAACCTAGATACTCAGGAGGCTGAGCTCTAAGGACCATGGTGGGAAGCCAGCCCAGGCAGGAAAGTCTGGGAAACCTTTCTCTCCAATGAACTCCCCAAAAGCCAGAGGTGGAGTTATAGTTCAAGTGGTAAAGTGCTAGCCTTGGGGGGGGTGGAGTCTGAATTCAAGCCATAGTTTGGAAAATAAAAAGTGACTAAGAGTCATGAATCCCAACTCTTTCCACAGAAGAGAAAATCATGGCTCAAAGGGGCAAACACTGAGCTCAGTCACTCAGAGAATTCCTATCAAAGCTGGGGACCCAGCCCAGGTCTCTGAAACAATCATCCCGAAAACACAGAGCCACAGCTCCTGTCCTGGCCCTGACCCCTGTGACTTCCCAAATCCCTGCAGGCTTTGCCCAAGTGCTGGGTCAGTGGCATTGCTTGTAAGAGATTCTAAATCCCAAGGCAGTGAGGAACATGAGCAGCAGGGGTGGGGAGGAGGGGGAGGATGGCCAAGCAGCCTAGGATCTTCCCCCTACCCACACTGTGCTGGTGGCTGGATGAGTGCTTGCCTTGCTCGCACACATTATCTCATTTAATTCCCCCAACAGCCCACAAAAGTGTTATTCCTTCATGGATGGAGGTTTAGGGAGGTGAAGAACCTATCCAGTGTCACAGAGACACAGCATGGGAAATAGCCAGGAATCACCCATTCCAGGTGATTCACAGCCAGGGATAGAGAAGACAGACGGCTTGGTTAGAAAGGAGCTGGGGACTGAGTGGGGCTGGGTCACTGAGTCCTTTCTGACTCTCCTTTGGCAATCAGATTCCAGCTAGAGCCGAGCTTGATGGAACTCACACAGCTTAGTCAGCAAAACGGAAGTCGGGACTTAAGGTCTCCGTAGCTCTCCATAGAGCTCAAGGTCTCCACCCAGTAACTATGGAGGCCTTGGAGGCTAGAGGCAAGAGCCATCTGCCCAACTAGTCACCACCACTTTCAAACATGGATGTGGCCACAAGAGAATGAAACACATCCCAGCAGGAAAGGAGCAGGGAACACTACGAAAGGAAAGTAGAAAGTAGAATTCAGAATGCACTTTAGGGCAGGGGCTCTGCAAGAATACTAGAGGACAGGACCCTGTGCATCTGCAGGAAATGGGGAATGGGGCTTCCTTCCACTGTGTTGTTCCCCCAGGAGGTTGGGGGACAGCCCAAAGACTCGCCAGTACTCACTGCAGAGTTGACGCTCAAAAGAGGTACATTGGTTCCCTATTTATGCAAGAGGTGTCAGAGCAATACAACTTTCACAGGAAGCCTGTAGGCTGTTGATCAGATACTAACTGAGCAGCCACTATGAGCAGAGTGCTGCATCCATAAGCACCTTCCTGTAGCCAGCCCTGAGCCCATGCCAGGCCCTTGGCTCTCTGCGGGACCACGCAGCCTCAGGCTGCTTCTGTGCTCCATTCCATTGATCCTCTCTTGAGCTCTTGGAAACTCCAGTGGGTTCATGATCATCTGTACCAAGATCATCTGCAAAGGCCTTCCCACTGTCCTGTTGTTCTTAACTGTCCAGGGTGGAGTCAAGTGTGAGGCTCTGAGCTAAGAGGTTAATAGCCCTTCTACCCCATCATGAAGCCTCGGACAAGGGCCAAAAACCTAGAAATCAGAACATCCTAGTTTACATCCCAGCCTTTACCTCACCTAGTTGTGTGGCTGTGAGCAGTAGCTGAACTTCTCTGAGCTTCAGGGAAGGGAGAACACAGCAGTGCTTCCCCACCTACTTTCAGGGATTGGTGAGATGATTACGTGAGATAATGTGTCTACAGCAACTTGCAAACTGCCTGACTCACAGGAGGAGCTCAATACACAGGAGCTGTGATTCCACACCAGGTTCTACCTCCAAATCAATGACTGTTTCTCTTACCTTCATCCTGATGCCAACTGCCATGCCCTGTGGGAAGTAGAATTGAGCCCCGCACCCTTTCCCCTGGCCCATCACCACACCCTCATCCACTCCTATCTCAGAGGGTCAGGCAGCCACATATGGCCAGGGACAGCTGCAGGGTCCGTGAGCAGCCAGAGAAAGGCGCAAAGACACCCCCTAAGACTCAGGTAGTTTTCTACTTCACCCACTGATAATGGGAGCAGAGCAAGTATGGGGCAGGGTAGGAGGGAGGCTGGGGAAAGGCTATGCTACTGGGACCAGGAATGCCTATTGCTCCTGTGGCACCTCTGCCCAGGGCCCTGGACAAGCAGCTCCGAGCCTCCCAAGTCCAACTCCCCACCCCAGCCTGTTATCAGGGAGATCAGCCTGCGTGGAACCATCCCCAGGGGCGGCCCTGCACTCTCAGCCTCAGTTTACAGGTTAGGAAGGTATTTCCTGGGCTCCTAGGCATTCATCCGTTCCTCCCTGTCCACTTTCATCAAAATTTAGAATTGCAGACAAGCCATGAGTGGCTCACGCCTATAAACCTAGCTACTCAGGAAGCTGAGATCAGAGAACTGAAGTCGAAAGTCAGCCTGGGCAGGAATATCAATGAGCTTCTTATCTCAAATTAGCCACCAAAAAATAGGAAGTGGAGGTATAGCTTACGTGATAAGAGTACAAGCCTTGAGTAATAAAACTAAGAGACAGGGGGCTGGGAAGGTGGCTCAGTGGTAGAGTGCTTGCCTTGCATGCATGAGGCCCTGGGTTCGATTCCTCAGCACCACATAAGCAGAAAAGTCCGGAAGTGGCACTGTGGCTCAAATGGTAGAGCATTAGCCTTGAGCTGAAGAGCTGAGGGACAGTGCCCAGGCCCAGAGTTTAGGCTCCATGACCGTCAAAACAAAAACAAAAAAAAACCTAAGAGACAGAGCACAGGCCCTGAGTTAAAGCTCCAGCATTAGCTCCAAAGAAGAGGAGGGGGGTGGGGTGGTGAGGGAGGGAGAAAGGAAGGGAGGGAGGGAGAAAGTAAGAAGGAGGGAGGGAGGGAGGGTAGAGGGAGGGAAGGAAGAAAACGGAATCACTGACAAGCATGCAGATTGATTCCTGTGGACTTGGCTTTACCCAGATGGTTCTGGGTCAGTGTCGTGAGTCAGACCTGAAGGCTGCAATCAGAGAAGCAGTTGGCATGGGGCCTCCATAGGGGGAGATCCAGAAGCCAGTAGGGGAGGGGGATGAGGGCAGAGCAAGTGAACACAGGGCAATATGACAACATAACATGGGGAGATAGCAGTGAGGACAGAACCTCTTCCTGGAAAGACTCTTCTCCCCAGAGAAACTGGCCTCCCAGAGACCCTGGGCAGGCCCTTGATGACCCAGCTGCCAGGAACCAAGTCAACAGCTGTCAGAACTGAGCCAGAAACTGAGCTGAGTTCTCACACCTGTCCCTTCACTGAAGACAGTTGGTCCTGTGCTGGACATGGCTGAAGCCACAGAAAGAAGTGCAGAGTTCCAGACCACCCATGGACAGGTAGATCGGCAAGCCAGAGGCACACTCCCAGCATCTCTGCCTATTGGGGAGGGTATACACACTCGTACGGTGCACCTAGCATGCATTTCACACTGGGCAGTGAACCCGAGCTCCATCTGTGAAGCCAGGCCAGGTGAGATGTGCTGAGCACAGGGGCTCAGGTGTGGATCTCCCAGGAGCTGTGAGAACCAGGAACATTACCCCAGAGGGCTGACAAAATGCTCAAAGAGCAAAGACTTCCAGCCAGAGCCAGGTCTGAGGCAGCAAGATTCAGATGCTCTTCTGCAAAGATCGTCTGGACCATGTCCAGTGTTCGCTCATGAAATGGTCACTGGGTGGATGAATGAATGAATGAATGAATGAGCTAATGGACAAGCTTACAATTATAAAGGCTGGGATTGCTTTAACTGAAATCTTTACAACACAACACTTCCTGTCAGGTCCAAAGTTCCAAGGATGGCTGACCCAGCTTTGATGCCATGCCAATGGTCTTCACTCTCTGGCCATTACACGCTGTTGAAGGCAACTGAGATTTACATCCCCTCACTATACCTCTGAGGTGGCTTTCTAACTGGCTTCAGACTGACTTAAGGTCCTGGGCCAAGCCATCCTGGGACCCCACGATTTCACTTGTAAGTGATGAGACAGAATGATTCTCCGTAGAGAGTGGCTCTCTTCAGAAGACCTGGGACAGGAGCCGATCAGCATAGACTGTCCACCTCACTTCTGATTTATTCTTCTTCCTAGTGCCCCATGCTGTGATCACATCAGCACACATCATCAGACCCAGGGTTCTCAGGGCTGGAAAGCCTCAGGTGACCGGTCCAGCCTTTAATTTCTGTTTGGAACCACAAACATTTATAAAGTACCTGCCGTCTGTAAAGCACCCTGCCAGGCACAGTGGTGCCCAGATGAATGGGGCACAAGAATAGGATACAACAAAGATTAACCCTTGTTTCCCCTTCCGCCACTACCAGCTGAACCTTCATCTCAAGGGCCAGGCCCCTGCTCGAGAAGAATGCCCACTATCAGGGGGGCCAGTAGCCATCAGAGGCAAGAGGGGGCTGGGGGCTCCAGACAACAGATGGCTGGCTCCAGCCCAACTGAGCTTCCTCAGGGAGACAGGCTGCAAGGCAAGACAAGAGCTTTCTAGCAAGTATTAGGGCATAAGCTGATGGAGATGCTCGGTTAGGCTTTCTCCCCTGGCACTGTCACCAGCCCCCCGCCATTCCTCCTCCTCTAATTCTCCAGGCACTCATTCCCCTCAGCTCCATGCTGCTCCTTGAGCGCAGGCAGCCCTGAGCTATGGTGTTATGTGTTTGGCAAAAATATCTTTACCAGAGGGGTGGGGGGATGGTCCCTTCCCTCCCCCAAAATGCTCTGTCTCCAATGCAAAAGCATTTGCAAAGCAACAGGAAGAGGAGACACAGGCCGGCCCTGCTTCCCGACGAAACCCTTCCATCCTCAGGTCTACACGCCACTAAACATTCTGGAAGAGATGGGAAGTGATTATGGGGGGCAAGGGGTGAGAGAGAGAAGAAAGAAGTGGAGAGGAGATGAGAGGAAGGGAGGGGGGAAGAGAGAAGAGGAAAGGAGATGGGAAGAGAGGAAAGGAGCTCAGATACCACTATGAGTCTCACATACACACACACACACACACACACACACACACACACACACAGATCCCCTTATCTGATTAAGAATCCAAAGGAAAGTCCAAAGCTTCTGGAAAATTAAAATGACCCGGCCTGTTACCCAGTCAAGATCTGCAGTCAGATTATAAAGCCAGGGCCGGCTGGGGATTTCCTTTGATTGGGGTGAGTCCCCAGGCTCTGTTCCTTAGGCCAAATTGGGGCATCTCTAGGTGGCCTTGGTAGTACTGGACTTCGAACCCTTATCACAGCTTACTTGTGGCTGATGGGCAATGCCTGCACCCATTTCTCTGTAATGTGGTGAGCTCAGGGGAGAACAGAGACCAAGACAGAGGCTTTTGCCCACCCTGGGGCCTGAGAAAAGGGTGCTTCTCTTCCTTCCTTCTCAGATTTCTGGTCTGGTTGGTTGAGGATGGGTAGGGAGAGTAGGGGGAGTGATGGGTGCAGCCTCTTCCCTGAACTCTTGACTGCCCATCAGAACATACAGAATACAAACCAGACCCTACCTCTGCCATCTCCTGCACCAGTGGCCTCAGCCAGAGCCTCTCCTCCGGGGACCTCAATTCTCTTTGCCATAGGATGGGCCCCCAATACTGCAGGATCTTATGACAGACAGCCTGAGCGGAGAGGACTGCATAGGTCAAAACTGAGCAGGCATGTCTGTCCATCTATTGACTGTCACTCTGTGATAAAGAAAGGCTGATAATGAAATGAGCTGCTCTAGTAGCCACCCACCCACCCACCCAAGGTGCTGGATTTGAAAAGCCAGAAGCAGCATCAGCTTTTAACCGGGGAACTTCTCCAGCATGCCTGCCGAGCTGTTTGCTGAGAGCAGTTGTAACATATTTGCAAACATCCCAGAATATACATATTAGGAAGCTAACAAGTTGCCTGGCATTGAAAATATATTGCACACAGTGTCAGATATACTTAATATGCATTGCTATGGCATATTTTCTTTCCCTCCACAGCTTGCAGTGGAATGTTTTGCTTGGGGTTCTGTTTTCGTTCCTCATGCTGCTCCAATAGGCAGCCAGTGGTCTTAACAGGAGAATGGATGAATGTTAGTGGGGGTCAGCTCACCTCCTCCCCCAATAGGATTGATTGGGAGGCAGGCTCTCTCTAGTCCCCTGGGCCAATAAGAACTTCAGTCTGCTCAGTCTGACCTGTGCAGTCCAGCACTCCCACAGGATTGTCTATGTGTGCACCTAATTCCTCTCCTTTGGAGGATGAGTTGAGAATCCCGGCTTTTTTGGCGCAGTGAGCTCTACTTCACCCTTCAGGGAACTGCTTGTTTCTTTGGCAAGTAGCTGCTAAAATTGTCTCAACCCCTCCCCAACGCCCCAAGTACCAGATCTCTCAAATCCAACAAGACAGGAGGGCCGCACTTGATCTATAGTTCCTGAGCTGTGAAAGGGAAATACTGACGTATGTGTTTGGGGCTTACAGAGAGGGTGCTGCTGGGTAGACAAGGAAGACACCTGGACATCCTTCAGCACACAGAAGGGTATTCCCACAAATTCAGGAGCATGGTGCCAGGTGGCGCAGATATTTTACCCAGGGCCTCTGATATAAGGAAAAAAAAAAAAGCTGAAGGCTGAATTGTCCACAAAGCTACAGGACAAGGAGGTTCTACATCCTGAAGACCAGATTCAAATTCCACTCTACTGTGGATGGAGGCCGAGGTGTGCTTGAAGGGACAAAGACAGATGAATCACCACACGTGGAGGTCAGGAGCAGCAATGGGGATCTCAATGCTTACATTCAGGGAATGTAAGTATTCTTACTGAATTGGAAGGGCAGGGCCATCAACAGCCAAGGGACAGTCAACACCTACAGGAGGAAAGATGAACAAGGTCAGGGATCCCCTAAGACCAAGAAATGGTCCAGGAGCCAAGGAAATCAGGTGAGCAGAAAGAGCTGGAAGGACAAGGAAGATGGCCTCCCGTAGCAAATAGTGCAGAGGTGGCTGTCCCACCCTACCCCCTTTTCTCAATGCTAATCTCTCCCCTCTCTCACTTCTCCTCTTGATCACTGACTCCTTACCTTAGACTTCTTTACAGCCACCATCCCACTTGGATGTGAACCGTATGAGCAACCTGAGAGCAGGGAGGTTTTTTGTTGTTGTTGTTTTTGCTCATTGCTTTATCTCCAGTACCTAGACTCGTACCTGGCACATCTGGTCCTGGTTTCGTTTGTTGAGTGAATGAGTGATGCTGAAGGTAGGAGTTCCCGAGTTGCTATGGAAACCACCAACCAGGAGGCCACTGGTTGGCTGGTCTCTGCTGGACAGGGTCTAATGGGGACAGATGCCTGGCTGAGGCAGTAACAAGGGGCCAGGAGGTAAGGACCAGAGCAGGTGAGGGGAAGCAAGCTCCTGTTTTGCTCTGCTATACTCCAGGCTGAAGAGAAGAATAACGTGGAAGATACTGGAGAGAGAGAGAGAGAGAGAGAGAGAGACAGAGAGAGAGAGAGAGAGAGAGAGAGAGAAATTACATGATGAACCTGAGCCCCCAACAGATTCAGGAACGGCTGCAGATTGCCGAGCAGATAAAGCCCATGATTGCTTTCCTGTTTGGCCTTGTATTGTGGGCAAGGCTGAGCACCTGAGAGCCCAGGATTGACATTGTCCTTCCCCTGCTCTAACTTACTTGTTTAACTTTTTTTGCACCTCGGTTTCTTTACCCAGAATCAGTTGAAGAGCCCAACATCTTGTACTGCTTGTCGGGAGAGAAAAGGGAAAGAGCTCATTTACAAAGCATCCGGCACTCCAAGGATCATTCATTAAATCCCGTCTCCTCTTCTCCTTATGTTCTCCATCTGCTTGGTCTGAAAGGAAACTGACAGTGACTTCTTTAAAGACATCAGATATCTTTAAGGGGTGTGTTTCTCCATCACCACTACAGAGTCAGAACAGATTCTCCTGGGAAAAGTCATGCTGATGGGTCTTGAGCCCTCACCAGGGCAAGGAGTGCTAGGCACCCACCACATCCTGGCCAGGAGGCCTCCAGGAGGCTGGGGTGGACACTGAGTTCGCTATTGTGATCCTCTGTGCCACCACCCAGGAACCCCAGATCCCAGCAAACAGTGAGAAGGCCGGGCTTAGGTCTAAACAGCCCTGGTTTAGTCTCCCAGCTCTGCCCCTCCGAAAGCAAAGCCAACTCTGGCAAGTCATCTTTCCTCTTCAACCTCCCAACAACCACAAAAAGCTGATCCTGCGCCCCCCACCCTCTTGTAACCAGGGAGAAATTGAGGCTCAAACTGGTGACTCAGGTCACATGGGAAATCAGCCAAGGTGGGTCCCAGCACAAAGCCAGTAGCTGGCAGACATGGGAACCACCTCGAGGGGTTTAGCGAGATGTTCACTTGCGAAGATATGAGCCCTGGGAAGCCCTGGGAATAAGGAAGTACCTAAGACAGGTAACCAAAGGGGTCCTTACCTGAAGGAGCAATCACAGCTCTCAAGGGTGGAAAAGGCTATGTAGACAGGGTCACCTACCCACCACCATGGATGGATGATGGGTGGATAGATGGCTGGCTGGCTGGATAACTCCAGCTGACATCATTCTTGTGGCTTTAAGTAATCTTATCACCTGAGTCAAAATACAAAAACTGTTAGAAGCTTTCATTTTTAAACCATAAATGGCTTCTAAGAATTAAAAAAAGCCTCTTTCCTAGTTTTTAAGTCCCTGAAAGAGTTATATGTCTGTCTGTCTGTCTCTCTCTCTCTCTCTTTTTCCTCTCTCTCTCTCTCTCACCTCTGCCTTGTTTTCTCTGATGCTGCTGCTATAAGACTGGCCCTTCTTCCAGGATTCCAGCCCCAACCAGTCTGAGCTGCCTGCAAACCAGTGAAGAAAAGGTCCAGGTTGGAGGGGTCACCACCCTGCTCTTCACATCCCCCAAGGCTGGAGTACAGACTGAGGTAGCAACCTCTCAGAGAGCCCAGGAAGCTGAGGGGGTAAGGGAGGGGAGAAGGAGGAAGGCAGGATGTTGACTATAATTATTTTCATTGATTTGTCTACTTGGATCCCAAGTGCTGTGAAGCCAAAGCCGTGGTGACATTTAATAAATAATAATTCAAGGTAAAAATACCTCTTCCTCTCTGCTCCCTCCCTCTTCCTTTATCAACTCCACCTTGGCTGGCTTTCTTACCACTCCCCCCACACATCCTCCACCCCACCCTATCTCCCCTGGGTCAGCTGAAAGACAAAGATTGGAACTGAGCATGAGGGGAAAGGCTGAGGACCTGGGGTCTAGAGCCCCAGAGTGAAGGTTGCACTCTTTCCAGCTGGCTGATGCCGCCAGGAAAGTCGCTGTTACTCTCTGAGTGTAGGAGGTAAGCTAGACATGTAAGGTCCTGACTCAGAGCTTAAAGCCCAGGATGCTCAGACACCATGAGAGGCAAAGAATGGGCGGGAGGGGGGAGCCAAGGGGGACTGGGAGGGGAGGACCTGCTTTCCCCAAGAGATCCTGCTTCTGATTGCTGCCTCTGACCACAGAGGACCCTCCTCTACTACCACTGTTTATTTCCAAGCCTTACTGGGATCCTCCTTCCCCCTCTCGGTCCTGTGAGACCAATGTTATTCAACCCATTATAGAGATAAGAAAGTTAAGGCACAGAAGTGATAGTGTGGCACCCTGCCTTGCCCACCATCTACGCCTCTGGTAGGCTAAATATATAACCCAGAATTCTGAGAGCCCTATAGGGATTCTTTTGTTTTTGTTTTTTGGTCATGGGGCCTGAACTCTGGGCCTAGGATCTGTCCCTCAGCTCTTCAGCACAAGGTGAGTGCTCTACCACTTGAGCCACATGACCACTTCCAGTTTTCTGAGTAAGCTTTAGTGTAGGTAACAGTCTCACAGACTTTGCTGCTGGCTTTGAACTACGAGCCTCAGATCTCAGCCACCTGAATAGCTTATTAGTGTGAGCCACCAGCGCCCAGCTCCTATAGGAATTCTTAAAGGATGGAGATTCAGAAAAGTTAGGTCTTCTACCAAGACATACACATGGCTTGAAAGGGGAAAGGTTGGACTCTGTTTCAGACTACTGGAGACAGGAGCCTTCGGCTCTCCCCTCAGATTCTTGTTGCCTGTGCCTAATGCACTCAGGGTTGGACCTAGGCCCAGGCCGCCTGCCTTCCAGGTAGAAAAGCTCCAAGACACAGCCTGACTCAGCAGAGTGCAAGGTGCAGGGGAAGAAATCTGACTCCCCAAACCTCCTAGCTTAGTCCTCTGAGTGCTTGGGGTGAGGAGCCAGGCTGGGCTGTCAGGGAAGATGTAATCAGAGTGACCTCCTAGGTTTCATGGATTCATTAAGGTCTGTGTTCTGGGGTAAATGGTTGCTTTCCCCTAGTCCTGCTTGAAAAGAAAATCGATTGCCTTCTTGTAGACTTAGAATAGGACCATGGGCAGTTAGAAAACACTTCCCCAGGCAGGCACTGGGGAAGGGGTGTCAGGTCACTTCCCATTCATTCCATCAGCAGCATGGAGCCTGGACCTGAAGGCTTGCAGCAGCTGGCTAGAGAAGACTTGGCCTGCACCCAAGGATGAGCCTGGGTCCTCTGGGCTCTGAGGCCTGGTCCCATCTCCACCTCTGAAGCCTTCATGGAGCTTTCTTGTTATACCTTACCTCCTCTACCCCTCCCCACACACACCCATCCACCCTGGCCCCTGCCAGCTAATGGATTTTTCTCCTCTGTACAGAGAGATTTACTAAACAACTGAACTAGGACGCATTAAGTCTGTGGGTTTGGAGGTTTGTTTTAGAGCAATTCTCGCCCGGAGAACTGGCCGCTGAAATTAAGATGCATTCTTCTCAGCAAATATTGATTTCAACTAGAAGCAAATCTGAGAAGCTGCTTGCTGGATTTCAGCTCTGGCAGCTGAGTTTGGAATGGGGTGTGTATGGGGGGAGGCGGTGTCACCAAAGAACTCCCTTGCCAGAATTCCAGAAAATAGGGTACAGATTTGCCAACCAAAACTCATTATGAGCCCTATAGATGTCTGGGTTTACTGCCAGATAGGAATAGAGAGGGGTATAGAGCACCAGATGAGATGGAATCCACACAGCCATGGAGGAACCAATGAGAAAGTTAGACTTCACAGCTAAGCTGGACCCGAGTGTCCTTCCTCCTTGAGGCTTGGCATGATCAACGCCATCTTTCTTCTCTGTGCCCTCCAGGGTTTTCAGCAACCCAGAAATGCAACCTCAAATATCCCTGTCTTGCTTCCAGTTCTCTTCCAAATTTTCCAGGAATGAGGGCCACATCTTACACCACTACACTCAAGGTCTTCTGTTCCAAGAGCTTAGGAGCTTTAGAAATGAAGTTAGATGATATAAGGTCTTGATCTACTTCATCAACCTTCTAAATGGAAGGTCTTAAGCCTTTCTGGGCTTCAGTTGTCTTATTTCTGAGAAGCAGAGACATCTCTGCCACAAAGCAGAGAATTGGATTAGACTAGATAGCCTTGAAGAATTTTCTCAGCTAGTAAAAGTAAAAGCCTCTGTGGTTCCTAGTTCTAGATAATACACACACCCAAGAGCCTTCTCAATGCCTAGCAAAAGGTTCTGGGGCATCTTTAAAATGATGCTCTGCCCTGGGCTCCCCAGACAAGGGAGCAAAATTCTGGGGATACTTGACAAACTAACACAAATAAAAGTAGCAACATCTTTTATCTTGTGTGTGTGTGTGTGTGTGTGTGCCAGCACTGTGGTTTGGACTCAGGGCCTAAGCCCTCTCCTTTAGCTTTTTCTCGCAAGGCTAGTGCTCTCCTCTTCTGTTTTATTTTCTTGGGTGGCTAATTGGAGATAAGAGCCTCACAGATTTTTTATACAGGCTGGCTTTGAACTGTGATCCTCAGATCTCAACATCCTCAGTAGCTAGGATTACAGGTGTGAGCCCCTGGTACCTGGCTAAAGAAAAACATCTTTGTTACAGAGGCATTTGGGCATATCAACCATGAAGATACAGCAAATACAAATAAGAATATACAAGAGAATATACAATCTTAAGTCATAGGCCATGAAAATGACTGCAAAGATTTAGAAGAATATGAATATACTTAGAAGGTATGAAGTCTTGGTGAGGATTATTAGTTTCTTTTAGACTGAAACATGTACTTGTCACCTGCTCCAGAAATCCTGTGCCTAGGTGTATATTTATCCAAAAAAAATAAAACTTACATTCACCCAAAAATCTGCACAAGACTGGCAGTAGTTTTTTTCATAATTGACAAAAAAGGTAGGAGGAGTAGGGATCAACTGGAATAAGAAAATGAAGCTGCAGTATATCCATACATGGAAACTACTCCACAATAAAAGTAAGGAACCATTGAGACAGGAATAATACACAAGTGCGTGTCAAGTGCATGTGACTACATTGAAGAAGCTGACCCAAAAGGCTGTGTGTGATATGCTTCCTTTTGTATAATTCTGCACACACACACAAAAAGCAGCAAAGTGCTGGAGTAGTTATGAGTGATGGTAGATATGAGTGTAGTAGACACTCAAAGGATGTGTGGGTGGGTATTCTGCAAAAGGATGCTCAGAGAATTCTGGAAAGTGATGGGGTTGGATAGTCGGCACCACGATTTTGATAGTGGAGACATGACATTATGCATCTGTCGGAACCTACAGAACTATTGACCACAAAAATGTAAAATTTATTTTCAGGATATATCTAAAACTAATTTTTTAATGGAGGGGGAAAAAGTGTTAGCAAGGCCATTTTGACATAGCACTGTTTAAAAACAGCAGCATCAGCGGGGCATGATGGCTCACACCTGAAATCCAAGCTAGATGGAAGGCAGTAACAGGGTGATTGAGATTCAAAGCCAACTTGACAAAAAAAAAATTATTGAAACTCAATCTCAGTAAACAAGTTGGGTGTGGTAGCATGTACTTGTCATCTAAGTTATGTGGAGACATATGAGGGAAGATTGCTATCCAAACCCAACTCTGGGTA